ATATTTTCTTCAATAACGTTATATTTCCTGCATATATATATTATATATATGTATATTAATATTTAATTTGTTCCATACTAACTAAAAGCCTTAAAACAACATAACATCCTCTAGTCTCTAGTGTCGAGTGTCAACCACAGGATCTTAAGCCGTGAAGATCGTTAAGTTGCGGCTTTGAGATACAGCATCCGTGTACAATATATTAAATAATATATTGATACTTCAAAAAATGTTGTCATACACATAAATATCTATTTATCTTCTTCTACCAGGCAATTTCCCAGCTTTAGCCAGGGTCTGTCTTATATGTTGTGAATAGTTTTGGCTAATTCTTTTTACGTCCAGCCGACATCAACCTGCTTTGAGAAGACATAAATATCTATTTATATTAAATTAAAAACTATTTTTTTAATTTAATAAAATTAATTTAGTTGACACTTTACATGATAGAAATTTACGTCAATGATTGAAACTAATTGTAATACTAACTTTGCCTACATAATATGCTATTTTAATTTATATACATGTTTTTTTTAATCCAACATGGAATTAAGATTCGTCGTAACCGTAAGCTCAGCCAGCGTGACTTAGCGGTGTTTTGAAACAGACGTTTGAATTAAACAAAGTAACTTGCTTGTAACAGTTAGTACATGGTAAAAAAGTTCTTACATCTAATGAAAATTAACATCCTTAAACAAATCATAATAATAATTTAAAATTACATAAAATAAGTCGGTTTCACGTTCTGTAATACGTGTTAAAATTATTCATTGACAAATTTATTTAAAAAATCTAGGTCGTGTTAATAAATATTGGCTAAAGTTATAAAATCCAATTAATATTCAATCAGTATATACATAAACCATTGTATATACATATGTGTGTGTCTGTGTGTGTGTGTGTGTGTGTGTGTGTGTGTGTGTGTGTGTAATTGTCCTTAATAATGTATAAAATGCAATTAATCTCATCTTATAACGAGCCGTCAGACCTGGTTGAAGTACAACTAACCGCATCTCGCTAGGGCCGCTGGTCACAGCTAGTTCTATAAAAATAAAATACCGACACACTCCGTTATAATAGTTCACATCGAACACGCTAACTGTACAGTCTGCGTTTACTTCGAGGCATGTAATTTCACTAAACTCAATAAAATGACACTATCTAACTACGTAATTTAAATTTAAAAATAATTTTTAATGTCCTATATACACAATCCCTACTAATATTATAAATGCGAAAGTAACTCTGTCTATCTGTCTGTCTGTTACGCTTTCACGCCTAAACCACTGAACTGATTGTAATGAAATTTGGTACAGCGATGGAGTTGACCTTGAGAAAGAACTTAGGATAGTTTTTATCCCAGACTTTTAAAAAGTTTTCTCGGAAACGCGATATAACCGAACTCCACGCGGGCGAAGCTGCGGGCGAAAAGCTAGTATTATTATTATTGGAGTATATATGTATGTACAACTTAATATATTTCAATAATAATTTTTCTACGTACATTTTTTTTGTTAATATATTTAATGCACGATTTTCAAATTCATATTACATTTAAAACATAAACGATCATATCAATTAAATTATACTTGAATATGATTCATTCGTTCGAAACAAAGAACGATGAATGAATGGAACGTAATGATATCTAATATTTTTGATTTTTTGTATGTATTCATTTAAATTAATCTAAGATTTTCGGGATGCTGCTAAATGCAAAGTCACCGAAACGTCGGTAATATCTAATTACCTAATCTATTAATATAGTATTTATACAACAATATCCAAAAACAAGAGCAGTTACATTAAAATATATGGCATTGACAGGGGAATTTTTTTCGTGATTGGTCATCATCATCATCCTATCAGAGTCCATTGCTGATCAAAGGCCTCTTTCTCACATGGAGAAAGTTTGAGCATTAATCACCACGCTTGCTCAGGACGGCTTGGTGATTTCAAACTTATAATTGTGAAACTATAAGTCCAGGTTTCCTCACGATGTTTTCCTTCACCGTCTGGTACTAGGTACTAGGTCATAAAAATATTTTTTCTTTCAATAATAATAGGTTTTAAACATTAATTATTCAAAAATAATATCATAGTTTATTTTTATTTACATATTATATAATGCACATAATTACATACATTATTCTAATATTTATTGTACATAGTACTCTTATTATGACCTTGACCGTTGTGATAACATGAGGTCAAGGACATGAATTAAAGAAATTCTTATCTTGTAAGTTATAACGAACAGCTGTGACTTCAATCAAACGTCTTAATAATATAGATATAAATTTATTATTCCTTATATTTAAAAATTAATTACTTAATAAGATAATCTAAGATTTTCGCGAGTACTCATTTAAATGAAAGTAATATTTTCGGATTTACTTCGCAATTTTTATTTTTGACTATAAACTACGTAATACCGACGTTTCGGTTACTTTACAGCAACCGTGATCAACAAACGAGATGTCTCATTTCACATCTCGTCTGAGTATGTAGTTTATAGTCAAAAAAAGGCGTAGTAAACCCAAAAATATTAGTTTCATTTAAAATGAACTAGTCTTAAAATCATGCGACACAAATACTTCCTATGATATAATAGTTAAATAACTATAAATAATCCACTCACTGGAAAATAACTCGCTGCCAATCAACCAAGTTATTTGTGTATGTCAGGGAAGCTATGAATCAAAAACATCAACACATTCAGTGTTTACGTTAATTCTAAAACCAATACTAAGAGTATCGATCACTCGACATTATTGTATATAGAGATTGATATATCACTCATATTCTGTGTAAACATTCTATTAAAATAAATCATTTATAAATATAAATGTACATATAATATTCTAATTTATTTGTTACTAGTTTACGCCTGCGACTTCGTATGGACTTTTGAATTATTGTTTATGTATTATGTAACCAACATATTATGTACTATTATAATATAATAATAATATATATTATGTTATTAACCGACAGCGACATCTATTGTCTGTTTGACATACTAACACTATACACAATACAATTTTAATAGCTCGCTCCTAAAGTTACTGTAAGGAATTTCAGTATAAATTATAATCTATGTCTTTGTAAAGTTTCGTTGAAATCCTTTGCTAAGTTTTGGCGGGAAGGAGTAACAAACATTCTTTCCCTATACATATATCAGATATTCGCTTTTATACCAGTAAAATTAACGAACTATAATCTATTTATCTTTATAATTGCGCGGTTCAGAAATCAACTTAGGCATTGCTGCTAATATATTTATATTATACCTTCATATGGTCAATACAGTTTGATATAATTATTTATTAGTTTTAATGTATATTTATGAGTATACATATGGACATTTACATTTAAATTAACCAAAAAAATTCTTAAAAAATATTTTTATTACGTAAAGCTATGCAGCTATATTTATTTTATGTATTACGTAAAAAATATTAATATGCAAGATCGATATATATTTTTTTATTTAAATATAGAATAAATAATGGCTATAAATAAGTTGCTTTAAGTGCAATAAAATATAAAAATGACAAAAAAGTTTTTAATACAACTTAAATGACATTTGCGTTTACTGAAAAAAAAAAATGGAATTTGAATATAGAACGCGAATAATGTCCGTTACAAGCGAATCGTTCCAGTACACGTCCGACCCGGGTCAAACTCCGAATGTATAATGCAGTAACGCTTTCGTAATCGTGAGTCAAATCTTTATCTAACCGGACCAGTATCACGTCCGTGTCTACATTTAATGCATTCATAATCGATCAGTAATTGTTTTTGTAATTATATACGAGCAAAAAATGAGGAACAATACAGTGCGATAATGTAAATCGTGATTTAAACTTCCCTATTTGTTAATATTTAATTCCGATACTAGTTTTTTTTATTTATGTACGACTGACGTTTTGAAATTATATATCGTCGGGGATAGTGCAAATCCGCGTAACTACCATGGGATTATTCCACGTATAATAATAATAAATTAAACACTAAATAATTGCTACTTGTGAAAAAAATACCTTTCAAGTCATTAATATAGGAAATATTTCAGCAAAAACTTTCTTCCGATAATCTGCTTCCAATGTAGATACGCGGAATTATCCAATGGTAGTTACGGGGACTTGCACTATCCCTACCGATATACAACTATTTTAATCTTTCTTTCTTTTTATATTTACTTGTTTTTTTTTAAATTATTAACATAATATTTAACACACATACGATAGGCACGTGATTTTTGTAGTGACACATAATAAATACTTTCAAAACAAATATAATTTTAAATACAATATATGTATATGTCGCCGTTATATGTATATTACAATTGGTTTTATTGATTTATAAGTGAAATTATTTTAATATCTCTATACATATATGTATTATTGCTGATAACAAAAGAAAAGTTGGTAAACGACTGATAAAACGTATTAAGGCTGATCACAATTTCTCCTATGAGGTTAATTACATCAAGCAATTGTTATCATTCGAATATAAACCTATTTTTTTAGACAATTGAGTCGCTTTTGCAATAAACCTATGACACATTTTATAGCCGGTGACAACTTTTGAAAATTTTCACGGTCTGTTAAATGTAATATATTATCCGGCCCGATTCTCGATGCCAATCGTGTTATTGAACTCGTTTGACGGAAATTAATGTTACAATAGAAATTATACCCTATCACTATAAAACAAAGTTCTATTTTCGTGTAACGATTAATTCCTCTAACAAATCAATATTACATAATTCATTGAAGCTTCAAGAAATGTAGTAATGTTCACGAGTGTAGAATTACTATGATACAACAAAAATTATTATTTCTTTTATTCGTTTCTATTTTATTAATATGAGCCGTACTTAATAATAAATATTTATTTATTGTATTGTTTAAACATGAATGAAGAAATAAATATATTTTTGTATATAGAAGCTCGTAGCGCCATCTGTTATCAAATAGCAAACATTTTCACAGGTGACAATGGCAGCAATCACGCTTTGTACCTTGAGACAATTGTCGAGGAGACAAGCGATGATTTGCGATCAGAACGCTCTTCTGCCGCAACTTGGCTATCTGATTCGGATGCTGACTCTGTTATCCATGTACGAGGAACCGCAGGTAAGGAAAGCATATAGTATTAAATATTGTTTTATAGTTTAAAAACTCAAAGAATTTGTGTTATTTTTCGTGATAGCGCCACCTAGTGGTAAATAGCGGAATTCACAATACTCTTAACACCAGTGTATTTAGTTCTACGATTATAAGTAAGATGGCAGTCTAAATATAACTTAATAACTATTTTTTTATATGTATATTCGACTTTTTAATTACAGTCATATAATATTGAATATTTTTTAATAACTTTATTTATTATTTAAGTGATAACTGAAAGTAAGCATTATTTGATATTTCTCCGTAAATACACATTGCTGGAATCTATCCAAGGAAACAAAAATAATTTTGTTTCGGTGTCATTGTCACAACTCACAAGTAGTGTTAGAGTCCTCGTGAGATGTTCATAACGTGCCATCAGTCGAGGTGTTCTCGTTAACCGGAAGTTACTTTCATTTCCAACTCAGGTTCTGACTGTGACAGCGAGTCTGAACGCGAGTGGGCGTGTCCAGCCAAGAGACGTCGTCGTGAGCGCGCCACCTCGCCCATCAGCACCGGCTCCCTGTCTCGCTCCTCCAGTCTAGCCCAGTTCGAGTCTCTGGAACGTTCGTGCGCCGCGCCCGTCTCCCCCAGCCTGTCCCCGGACTCCCTGGAGTCTCCTCCGTCCTCCCCGCCCCCCTCTCGGCCCGCGCCCCGCGTCCATCTCTCCACCGAGAACCTCAGTGAGGACAGTGGTTACAGCGAGCGCGCCCGCCGCCCTCCCCCTCCGCCGCCGCCGCCCGCTCGTCTCCGCACACCCGAAATAGCCCGCGGGCCGGTGGCTGGCAGCGTGCCCTGCCTCGCCTCGCCCAGTGCCGGCCGCCGTCAGCCGCGGTCCGTGCGCGCGCTCTCACTGCCCGCCGAGCTGGATGTGTGCTCCGAGCCGCTGCGTCACTCCGCCGACACACACACGGCCAGGTTCAGGCAGACCTTCGAAGTTTGCGACAGCTTCACCGTCAGCGTGGCGGACCTGACGGCCCTCGACTACCGCGGGGCGCCGCGCCGACCCCGCCTCCCCCCGCCACCACCCCCGCCGCGACCCTCGCACCGGCCGCCGCCGCCCCCTCGAGATGATGTGGTCCGACCCTCACGCGTCACGCCGGCCCGCGAGCCGTCCGCCGGCAGTGACTCCACCACCGAGTCCGAGAGGGCGTTCGCGGTCGAGATGGAAGCGACCGCACGCAGATTAGACGAAAATGCCAAAAAAGCTCTCGCCGATACTGGGAACTACGACCGCGAGATATCAGTACTGACCGCGAGACGGCTGCAGGACTCGTGGGCCGCCTGGGACGACGTGCTGGATGAGTTGAGGAGGAGGATGGAGCCGGCCTCCCCCACCCCCTCCCCCCCGAGGAGCCCCTCACCTGAACCTCTCCGGGAGCCCTCGTTCTCATCGACCCCTCTCCGTGCGGGGGACGCGCGGGTCCGGTCCACGCCCGAGCTCCGCGCTCGAGCGACGCCGCAGCGGGAGACCCCGGAGGAGCTGCGCGCCTCCTTACAACTGATGGCCCCTCGTCCTGAACCACCGCCTCCCGTCCGCTCCGTGTCCACGGGCTCCAAGGGCGTCACGTTCTCCCCGGTCGTGGCGGAGGTCAGTTGGCGCGACACGAGCACGAGCAGCGAACAGAGCAGCGACAGACGCACGAGCGAGAGTTCTAGCGCGAGCGTGGACGGCGCTGACGCAGAGGTGGTCGTAGTGGAGGGGACCGGCGGGCCGGCGCCAGCGACGCGCGCAGAACGCACCGCGGACATGACGGAAACGGCCGCGCGCGCGCCTCGGGGCAGGATCGCCGGGTTCCTATCTCGGTTCGCGAACTTCCGCTTCTCGGGGCGCAAGGAGAAAAAGACGCGCGGCGCAGGCGCGAACAGCAGGCCGGGCGGCGGCGCGGCGACGGCGGCAGACGGGCAGGGGGCGCGAGCGGGCACCGGCGCGCCGCAGTATGTACGGATCCCGCTGAAGGAGGAAGGTGTGTCACGCTCCACGGCAGCCCCGGCGGGCGGCGTGGCGCACAAGCCGCCGCGGCCGCGCCCGCCGCCCGCTCCCGCCGCGCCCGGCGTGCTGGAGACGGACGTGGACACGCAGCGCACGGTGCTGCACGCGCGCTCCCTGCTGGCGCTGGGCCCGCCCGACCACCGCGCGCCCCCCGACCACACAAGTCCATGGAGTTCCTGCTCGACAAGGACAGCGCGCAAGCTATACAGGTCAGTTACACTCACACTACACCTAAACTAAATACGTACATTAAAAATTCTATCGACACGAACAGGGTGCGAGCCCTACCCGTGGGAATGTCCCGTTATTCCCGTTTACACATTATCATATAGTATATAAGGGCGGTGTCGCATTATGCCGCAATGTTTACAAACATGCGGGTCGATGACCTCCTCATTATAGAGTAAAAAATAATCAAAAAAAAAACAAATCGAAATCATTCCACTAGTGTTGTAACTGTACAGGAAGGTGCGATGCGACACATTCCAGTACTGAATAACAGAACCATTAGACAACTGTTCATCAAACTGTACATGGGTTAGGGTTCCGTGTGACGATCAGAAAACCCCGATAGGTTCAATTGTCACGGAACACGGGCCGGAGGTGAAAGTGCGTACATTACCGCTTATCCGTGGGTGTCACTGATTATAATTGCCACCCAAAATGCATGACACATGACCGCATTACTAAACGTACGAGATATATCGATAACAAACAAACAATTTCTTCCTCAATATATATAGACGGGAACTGTAAAACCTCTAAAGTTTATGTCCTACGATCCTCAAAGGAAATTCCAACAAAAGCAATCAACGTAAGCCGACAGTGATTTATAATCGACCATAAAACTAGCCCCAGTTATCCTCAAGATAAGCTAACGTAAAGCTTAAACAGCAAACTTCCGAAGAAGTAAGGAAAAGATAAAGATGTCTTTATAAAAAATTATCTATACCTTAAATACCAGAAAATTACTCACACAAAGCCATTGTTCTAGATAATGTTGCATATAAATTGGGATATTTGACTTATCTACTTTTAAAACTATTTATAAGTATTCGTTTACTAACACAAAGAACGTCAACTATACAAAATATAAAACAGATGGAACCTTATCTAATTAAAAAATATATTAATTAACGTTAATATGGGATTCCGTCAAAAAAAAAAGAAACAATTGTCAAACGTCAATTGTTGTGTATTTTCCACGTTTTTGTAATGACATTGACATAAATTCTTACATAACCATGATATCATTCGCCGTTTAGTATTTCACAATAACGTTAAATCGATTAATATTCTATTAACAACAAATTATTCAAACAATATATACACGTTTAACACGACAACTGTTGTAAACAATAATACGTGTTTTCTCTACTAATTGTGTATAACGCAGTGATGACGTCACCAAAATAAAGATTCCCAGAACAGCTAATTGATATATTACCGAGAAATACATTTAATACAAATTAGTCGACTCTTCTAAAATTTTCTAATTAACCCACGCCAGTAATGTCAACGCTAGTATAAAATATTATGTAAATTACATTCGCAATTACAATACGAATTGTAATTCTAATACATTAAACATATTCCTAACTGTATATGAATTGAATCGTATTTTAACATTGTTAAATTATTTTAACATTGAACATTTATGTCAAAATGACATGATTTCCACAATGTTATGTCAAATCTCATTACAACAAACGGAATGAGGGTAATTTGTCGCGTTCATCATTAGACGATCGCGGCTATTGGGTCTGATTGAAGCGCTTTAAAGCGGCTCATAATGTCATAAGTGCTATAATTTTATGACATTTCTAGGTTTTGAATCACTTTGGACTTATATCTATAGATTAATGACTTTATAATTATCTTATTACTTTTTTTTAAAAATATATTTTGATCTAGCATATAATTAAAATAGAAAGTAATCATAATTATAATAATTCGCGTAGTAAAAGTGACGTTTTTAATTTGCCGCTCGATTTACTGTCATGACTGTCACTGTTACAAAAATATTAAGATTTGTATAAAGATTGAAACGAATCGATCTTAAATCATTGACAGAATACGGCACGGAGAAATTTTTAAATAATTGATAGATCATAGAAAACTTGAATTACGTAACTAAATATAACAATCGCTAGAGAAAGTACGCGATTCTATAGCGCTTCTGTATTTTTTATGATCTCAATAACCAGTTGACTTATCTACCGACCTTCCTCACTTACCTTGAGGCTAAGTTTCTCTTGTACTCATATAACTACTGTTTTGACAACTCAAATAACATAAGCGGTTACACAAACAATTTCACATTCAATTATCGCTGTGAGATTCTTATACATACATTATTATGTAAAATGGGTAAATAATTTCAGAATTTACAATGTCATTCAGGTTTTCTGTGGTTTGAGATAATGGCTTATAAGTGGATCTCACCACTCATCAGCGATGTCCTAGAACAATGCTGAAAATAGGACGCCTTACTTTAATTTACCAGCGAGCTTTTTTTCAACATAAAATATAAATCTTAAATGCCGTATCCATTTATTTGTTTCATACATTCATGTTATTGTATAAAAATTTGCTTACAAGTCAGAATACTATCTTTCTTTTATTTACCACTTACGTATAATCCTCTCGGGAATATAGGTTTTGTGTCAAGTGGTCCAAGGATCATTTTCGCGTACACAAAGGAACTCACGAGGACCATCACAGGAAACACAGATTTAGGCGTACATTATTACTCGTTGGAATTCTTTGAAGTTCTTTTTGGTTTGGTATTTATTGTTCACCAGCCGTACTACTTAACTTATCTTTGTGTCTTATTGTAAATATATTTTTAGGGCTGCAATAAAATAATAGATGCATCCCAATACAATTACCTGATTTACATTTTACTGAGAAAAATCTATTACTAAAGCAGTACGAAAAAGAATGTCATATTAATTTTACTTTGGTTTAATGGAAAAATTGCTTGAATTTTAATATTATAAGATCTCGGTATACAGTTTATTGTCAACGACTCGCCACCCAACGTGCGACCTATATCTGAAAATAGACAAAAACCATTCTTCCGTTACACTACCTTCCTTTATCGATAAACCATAAAAAAAACTTCAAATACTTCTCAAGTATCTTATATTTATATATACAATATCAAATATAGGTATTATTATTATCATACATTCGATCAGTAAAAAATTTCATTCATTCGTTCCCAATCCTTTGTAGAGTCATTCGTTCATTTAGCTTTATATTTTGGAGATAAATTTTATAGGTCATATTTAAGATCTTATTTAAAATATATCCTCTACGTCAGGAAGGTTTTTTAATGAAAATCTCAAAGGTATTTGAGAATCCTTGAACGTCTTTTAGCGAAGATATAATCCTGAGATTAAAACCTTCAACATACGATTAGAAGGACCAGTCTTATCATTGTTTAAATACTTGTCATACAAATGTACACCTAAAATAAAATGTACTGTAGACGAGTAACAAATGTGTGTATGTGTGTATGTATGAGTGTGTGTGTTGTTATTTAATTAATTGAACTACCCATTAACTTGATTCACAGGCAGATGAATCAAAAACAAATTAATTTAAATTTATAAAATATGTGGAATGAAAATATTAATTTTAAAATATTTTCGCTTTAATTTGTTGGTCAAATGTATAATCATTGTCCATTGGTTTAGTAAATTTTGCATGAAATAACTGATTTGTAATAACAAAAAACTATCGTCAAAAATAAATAAGAACATCGATTTTAATCACAATAAATCGATATATTTTTAGTACATTTTAATATTCTGTAATAAAATTACAAAAGTCACAGATAATATATATTTACAGAGTAAACTCATCGTTTATCAAATCGATTTCATTCCGACTAAGATCATATTACATTCCACATGTACGCCGGTTCATCCGAATGATATCAGGTTACGATGAGTTCTATGAAATCTCATCGGAATATCGGATTGTACTTCATTGTGTTACATTTACATGTGCAGTTCCGGGATTATACGGACTTAGGGACTTGATCATTTGTTATTTATATAAATGTACCCTTAATTCCACTATATCTTTATATATAAAAGAAATTCGTGTTAGTTACTCTATAACTCAAAAACGGCTGTACGATTTTGGCTGAAAATTGGTGGAGAGATAGCTTAGAACAAGGGAAATGACATGGGATACTTTTCATACGATTGAATTAGAAAACAATTATTTGATCAAATCCTAAATCCTCTTATCTACTGTGTTTAAGTAGGAATAATTCTCAAACTAACGCAGAAGATCTGGTTATATAAAACCAAATTCCATTACATATTTATATGAAGCCAATAAATATTTTTTTATAATGAGTTATCGTTATTTTGTAATAACGAGTTATCAGGTTAAAATAAGTCTAAAACTAAATGACTTTATGTTTAAATTCCAATAACAAAAATAGAATATAATTTAACTAAATTATGACCGCGCTTTATAAAAGTACAGTTAATATTTTTCCTCTATAAAATATATTATAATCATTAAACTCACTTAACCCATTTCATAGTGACTTGCACTAACTGAATTAACTAATAGGATTTGTCAGTAACTGGTTTCTACCCAGTGTGTGCTAAATAAAAGTGCATTTTCCTGAGCCTTTCATTCCAGCTTTGAGTCAAGTTAGTTTTTAGGTCACCTAGGGTTGTTATAATATTCGCAAATACTCATATTATCCTTATATATATTTAAATGAATCCCTTTTTCCCTTGGTCACGACATCACGCGTGGCTGGACCGATTTCACTAATTCTTTTTTTGATGTAATTGTTCTTATTAGGAGAAGGTTCTTATGTAAGAAAAAAATACGAAAATTACTTTTAAAAAAAAATTACTAAAATATTTCTCTTTTTTTAATAAAGTGGCAATAATATTCACGTAGTTGCCATTAAACTAGAAAAAATTTAAACAAATTAACTTCATTCAGATAAAAAGTTAACAGATATGTCTTGATTATAGGTACGAAGTTCGCCGGGTCAGCTAGTTTAATAATAAACATGTTATATGCATGTTTATTTATAATTTAAATGAAACTAATATTTTTCGGATATTCTACGTTGTATTTTTGTAAAAAACTACATACTCCCGACGTTTCGGTTACTTTTCAGCAACCGTGATCACGAGCAGACGAGATGTGAATTTTTATTAATAAAATCAGATTCAAGTAATGTTAGTTAATAA